CTTATATCTCAAGTGTCTTGTTGACTTGGTTGAAGCAGATATCTGAGTTGCGATGTTGAGGGTTGTACACGGCCTCGGTCCAAAGAGACTGTCTGAGATGACAACTCTGCCTCGACTTGAGCAGAGTACCTACCTGATGGGCATTCGTAAGTTGTCTCTTCACCCCATTCCTCAGTGACAAGACCCAATGGAAGAATACGGGGTTCGTATTACAAACTCCAGGTTTGAGGCGGATCTTGTTACGTACAAAGTCAAACACATTGAGAAGAGGAAGCAAGATCGGTAACAGCGGATATCCTGGGGTAATAGGTAATAGAATCCACAGACCTCAACGACCATAACGCGACTTCACATGTTCACCAAGACTTGCAGTCGTTGAGAGTACGTAATATAATACGGAGAATAGGAGACATGAACCATGCTCCCACATCTCGGCGTCCTTGGTTCTCCAAATCGCGCCACGACACGCACGACAGCTCCCTCCTGAGGGGTACCCAAGGTAATTCCCTCAGACAAAATCACTCAAGTACAGTACTTAGTCCCCGGAGCATGCACCCCAGAACAGTTCAAGGGCCAGGTCCCACCGGATAAGCTAGATAAATAAGCGCTCTACCAAGAATTCAAGGTTAATCTCAAGCGTAGTTCTTTGTACGTATTTTTTACATGATGGAAATTGGAGATGATGCGGGGTTGTTATCATTATTGGGGACGTGCGGAGAACGGGAACGGGAATGGGCTGAGGGGTCTTGCAGGCGTCGAAGGAAAGTGTGTACAGCATCGAGCTGGGTAATTGGTGTTGGCTTCCCCGGGCACCGCCTCAAACCCTGGTTTCAGGGCCTTAATACGGTGAGTTGCTGTGAATTAGCGTCTTGGGTCGAATGGGGTGTGTTCGTGGAACGGTCAAATCCCGAGGGTTGTTGGTTGTGAGAAAGGTGAAAGGAGTGTTGAATTCGCATGTGGTGAGGTAGAATTTGTACAATGGACATTACCCCTGTAATCCATGCTCTTTTGGGCATTCTCCAATTCATAACTCCAAACGGCTGATGTTCTTCCGTGTTTCCAGAAGCTTTCTATACTGAGATGTCTGTTGAGAATCACCAATACTTCATCTTATACCAACAACTTGTGTATTTCGGTCGCCAAGAACACTATAACAACGTTTAACTCCTCCTCCACTTCCCCAGACTTCGCATCTTCAATTATGAGATAGAATGCAAAGATCTCAACTATTACTCAATTGTCTGTGACAGACAAGGGTACATTCCCATGGGGTTCTGCTTCAGCCGCTGCAAGCCGCTGTGCCGAGCAGAGCACCCCTTGTGAATGGGGTTTTTTACGCAACAGGAACTTTGTGAAATAAACTCGTGGGCTATCTCGGTGATCGTGATCTTATGGAGCTGAGATCCAGAGATTCTGGGGAAAGTGGTTCCGTAGGGCTGGGGGATGGAGCTGTGATGTAATGAGAACGTGGGTGAGGATATCACGAGTTTTGTGGTAAGTGCAACAGGTGCGTGGATATTCGTATCTGAGCAGAGGATTCTCATATAAGATCACAGCTAAGTAAGTTTCTGAACATGTTGCCTAACTGGCAGTTCGTCACTATGTGAGATGCAATGCAGACAGTGTTCTTTGCCTTGGTCACCTAGTCATAGTATTCCGCCAAATAGGCTGGATGATCACTATGAGTCACTGCCCCGAGGACTACTTGTACTCTCTCCTCTCTTTCTTAATCCGAAGCGATATCGAAGGCCACTCATTTGCCCAAAATATCTCTCGAAGATAGAGCTCTCAGTCCACGTCTTTGTTGTGCAAAAGCAACACCTCGACCCCGATGCCCGACAAGGCCACAAGAGTTGGAGTTGTCAACAAGGTACTGTTTCTTCAGCAGCACAGGTAAATCTCACAACCCCCACTCGATTTTAGGTGCATTGCTGACAGTTCAGAGCTCATATAGAGAGGTATACGCTGTTCTTAATATCGATTCGTGCCTCCAAATGTGAAGACATAGGTCGTTTCACTACCTTAGACTTCTAGAGGACCAGCTGCTACCAAGCTCAAGCACGGTTCTTGCCTTCCCTTTCATTAAGAAACAGTTATGCTTATCTTTTAAGGTTAGCTGGAATAGAGTTCTGGAAGGAGCATGCTTCCAAAAGGGTATACAGTCCAAAGGCAGGAAGTCAATTATCACGTGGGAAAGCTCAACGTCTAAATTAACGACGCATCTACAAACAGATCAAAGATGACCTGAAAAACGATCATTCGAGGCCATTGATTGTATGTATATCAACAGCAGCTTAATGGAGTTACTCATGGTTACCGATTGGAGCCGCTCCAGTGACACAGCCGTTGGCAATCGAGTTTCAGCGCCTCAACACCACAACGACTTGGTGATAACAGAGGATGCACAAAAGACACAGTCGGCAAAATGAAATGCTCTCATTGGAGCACTTGGTAATGCGTAATCTGGGAATCGAACCCAGGGCTCCCCGACGCTGCTCGAATGGCAACGGAGAATTTTACCACTAAACCAATTACGCTGGTTGTTTGATGGAGATGCATGACACAATCGGCCAACATGTCGGTAGAGAATGAGAAATGCATCTTCCTTATTGTCGACGCCTGGAGTCTGACAAGTCTGAAGCTGTGCTTGTCCATCCGTGGTATGCCATACGGTGGAGGGTATGTTCGAGCCAAGCCCAGGAATGCCTTTGCGAATGGCTGGGGTACATACGAGGCTTGAGTTTGTGGCGAAACGTTCCTAGAAAACGACAACCAAAACTTCAGGGAGGCAGCTACAGAGTCATGTATCTCTTAAAACATCCAGCAGAGTTCCCTCATGCTTAGCGGTGGTGGTATCTACTTGGAGCTGTATCTGTCAGAAGATCTTGATACCTGACATCAGTGTTCTATGTTCTAATACCTGGATTTGGAAACATCAACTGATAACTACTTTCGCGTCCGAGTTAACACTGGGTATGACATTGAAGTACTTCAGTACTCCTTGACAATCCACAGTCTCGTTCAATAGCTTGGTAGTATTTGCTGGGTACGCACTCTTGTATAACTCCTCCGATACATTGGGGATGCGCTAGAAAAGGAAGCAGAATCTCTGTAAGGAGGACTCGTCCCTTGGAAATCGATGTCTTCAACCACGTCGTATGTCTAAATCTACCCTGGCCTGTATTTACTTATGTCCGCCCGTGCATGATCTGTTCAGGTACTTGATTGCGAGGTAACTGGGTTTCCTGGTTGCTGATATAAACACCTCAATGGTATAGCATGGTAACTAAACCTTTGCTCGATCCATGATGGGGTTGGAAAGGTATTTGATCAACAGTCGCTTGTACAGGGCGGTGCAAATATCCTCTTGTCGCGTCACGTTGATATAGAGCTGTTCTAGAGATCGATGTGTCTATACGATTCGTGTGTCACAAGAGCTCTTACCACCCTTCACCCCGAATGCTACAACTCATTGAAGTTGATGATGCCTACGAAGATCACTTATCAAGATAATCTAGTCAGTTCTCCTGTATCTTCCTCACAACCTGGATAAGAGTCTCTCCCAGGCTCTCTCTGATTGAGAGAGTTGGCGACGAGCCTGGGTGTCATGATGCACATGACCAGTGACTCCGGATCGAAACTCATCATTTTCATGGATTCGGATTGTTAAACATATGATATGCAGTCAATCTTACCTACTAGTCTTTGTGGTTTTCTCGTCATGCGCAAGAATTTACCATCGCGGTCATGTCGTACAACATTCGGCTTCGCGACTTATCCTTCGCTTGTGGTATTGATCAGCATTTTTCTCATCTGACAGAGTACAGCAGCTAATGTAAAGTATTTTATCATAGTTATTGAACCCAGTTTGATGGTATTGCATGTGTCTGTTATGCCAGTTTCACCAAGTAGACTCTAAAGACTCACTACCCGTCATCACCGCTTCAATGGTATTGTTCACTGAAAGTGGAGGTTGATGGAATCACGGAGTGAATCCAGATATGGAGAGTCATAATATATAAGGGCCTCTATTCTCGATGAACACCTTCTATTCGAGCGAAGTGGCTGATATCATGGAAGAAGGTTACTGCCCATCAAGTGATATGGGTGGGAGACGTCTGGCCTCAGAATAGGCAAGCAATGCCATCAATAACCGAATAATCTTTGATGGGACTTCACTCAGACCTTAGAAACTTACGGGCCGAGTAATTTCAGCTCTCTCTCGTGGATTTCCTCAGTTCGATGGGTTGGTATATATACACGCAGTGTCCTTCGAGCCAGAAGACCTGAAAGGTACATGCCATTGACCACGATAGTACTTACAGAACCACGCAGTTTCGTTGCTAAATAATTTGAACTTATCGCGTAGCCAGAGGCCAAAGAAGTGAGTGAAGATTAGCATCACCATAGTGTAAGTCTTGTGCCCGTGTATGCGAGCGGGAGGATGACAGACCTGGGGAAATCCGGGAACTCTCTTGTGACAATGGACAACAAGCCTTTTGAGATATTATACCTTACAGATTTCAAGGAAAGTATAATACATATACTGACAGTTTGGGTCCAGAATCTGAGGTTTAGGCTAGATTATAGTTACAAGTACTTCCATATCAGCCTACCAAGAAGCCACCAGAGCAAACATTCCGTTGCACACGCAATGTCTGGGGAAGAAAAAAGACTAGAGAATTATCATAATGTAACGTCAATTTCGTATCAATGATTATCGTAATACGAGATTCACAGTGAATGTTTCTCGTAAATAGCGATTACGCAAGCCACGTTACGAACACTTGTCCTGGGAATCTGAGACCTTTGTTGGCACACACAACGGCCAAGCCAACAGCGTCGAAAGAATTAGCATACAATACAACTCAAACAAAGATTTTTTTTATCTCTAGTCCATTTCAAGTGCTGAATAGTTATTGTCGTCACTTTTTGGGTGTCAATAAACACAAACACCAGTCAGAATACATACAGCAGGGGTGCACGTGATAACTACAGCCATGGCCCATTTCTCTGTCGCAACTCGTCCTCCTTCAACATTATCGTACCTCTCACCCTTCAGCTCCCCTCCTATGGAAGCGTCACCTCTTACTCGCCAGCCTCAGCCCGAGGTCTTTACCCCCAAGATCATCCAGCTCTACGATTCTCTCTTCAAGGTAAAACACCATCACTCGACTCTGTCACTGCCCCCATCATGAACTAAACACCAAACTGCTAGGTAGATATCCGCAACCGCCGAAACCTCCATGCGCCCGCCTCGACTGATCGCCCCTTTTGCTCGGATTAGGATGACTACGACGACGAAGAGAAGACGGATGGCTTCTGGACAGAGTTTTTCCTCCTCAGACCCGATCGCGCCGCCCTGAGACGTATCCTTAACGAGTTGAGCCCCAGCCATGTCTTGTCGCTCGATGTGCGGACGCAGGAGCTCTTTGCGAGGGGTATAGCTGCGCTCAAGGGCTCGCATAGCCTTGCGCAGCTGCACGCCCTAGACGTGAGTCGTATACGACCGCAATGCAGTACGCGGATTGGTCCTAACAGCCGATAGACGCTCAGTGTCTTTCTATCATGCCTCCTCTCCAAACGATACCCGCATCCGAGCTCCGATATCATGGTTCTTCTTGCAGGACTCGATCAGATCGATGCCGTGTTCACCGACTTTGTCAGCGCTGTGGAGGCTATAATAAAGAATAGCAAAGAGTGTAAGGCTCAGTATGTATCCTGAGGTGGCTCAACTGACTCGGAGCAGTGGAAGTTAGATACAAGGCAGTTGAAGTGCTGTTGGCGGTAACAGCTGGGGCGTACCAAACAACACTGTTGACGTACCTGATTCAAAGAGATCTATTCCCTGCAGTCATGAAGGTACACAATACTGTACAAATCGAAGCGTTCCAGGCTAACAATGTCAGTTCGTCCAAGACGCAGAAACGTCAGATCAAGTCCTACAACCCTTCACATTACTAGGCCTCCTAGCAAACTACAACAAATTCGAGTTCCAGAATCCTTACCAGCAAAGATTAAACGACTTTGTTAACGAAGCCGTGATTCAAAAGATCCTGGGCGCAGTAGGACAAGCGTGTCAGATAGTTCGGTCTCGATACATCACGATCCAAGACGATCTTCCTGAAGGCTGGACCTTCAGCGCTACTCTCAACATGATCGGACTCGGCGCGATCGCTCCCGGGCCAAGACCTGTGAAGAAGCCTGTGTATGATGTTGAGACTGCCAAAGCTCTCTTCACCAAGCTGTGAGTCAAACATCCCTTTGTGCTACCACAACATACACTGACATTGTGTTAGACCTGAGGAAGAAGCTGCTGTTCTCCTAGCTACTTACGACTTCACCCACGCCAACAAGCTCTTCTGCTTCAACCTAGTAACACAGGCAGCTGAACCAGGCGCTGAGCAACCCATCGCCAGCTATGTCTCCCTCACCTCCTATCTCCTCCAACACGCCTACCTCTCACCCCGCGCCACATACTACGCCCATCTCAACCTCATGGTCTTCCGCCTCCTGATCGAAGATCCCACAATCTGCAAGCGTATCTGCAGCGATGAATCTCGCGTCGCAGTGCGTCTGTGTCGACAACGGCAGCCTTACCTTCCACTCGTCAAAGGCGAGCGGGTCCTCGCCATTTCACTTCTAGACACTATGATTGACGGTGTGAATCATAATCTCCGTCGTCGTCTTGATGTCAGTCTTTACACGCTCTGCTTCGGCATCATGCTTCGTATTATCTCATATCTCTCTCGTACACGCACACGGCTGGAGTATCATTGGCCTGAGTTCTTCCGGTCTTTGCTCTCTATTGTTCGCTTCCTGGCTACATACACAGCCGATCTGAAGGATCTACCACATATCGATACTCTTCTCGACCACGTTGTTAATCTCATCGCCCTATCCCTCTCCGCTGGTGAAGCTTTCCTCCCTTCGCCAGCAGATTACGACGATCTGTTCTACAAAGTCGTCGAGTCCGGCGAGGTTCTCACCAAGTTCAAAGAGAACTACCGCCTGGGGAACCGTAACAGTAACTCCATTAATACGCTTATCAACGTTAGTGCGCATTACAACCAGATGCTTTCAGAAGGTGGTGCGAATCGTCGTAAGCCTAGTCTCTTGACGACACAGGAGGTCACGGAGGTTATTCGTCAGGGTTACGAGACGTTGAGTATCCAGGCGAAGGAGGGACTGGATTCATGGGAGAGATACCGGGAGGCGGATGAGAGGACGTTGCTCAAGAAGATGGCGAGAGCAGCTGTTGGTGATGTGCGAGTTATGGTTGAGCGGTAGATTGTCTAGGTAGTCTAATGTCATCATGAGACGGTCCAGATTGAACTCTGAGGAGTACATGAATTGCATTCACAAGTTGTGATCTGTCCGATTACCCTATTCCTATTGTCCTTGGGTGAACACTTTCTGCTAGAACATCTCAGAGATAGGCAAATCATGACTCCATCCTGAGTCTGATGCTCACTGTCGACTCCAACTCAAGTCTCAGCACTCAACCGAGTCATGCCGACTCTCATGACTCTTCACCAACCTCATAGCTCAACCTCTCCTCTCTCATGACCCATCTCTCCAAGCATCTTCCCTTCCCATCAACACTTCATTACGAACACGCAACGCACAGTCTCATAGAACCTTGATCCTTCAAACGACATTGCGCAGAAGCTCGGCTAGTTCGGCTGGTCTCCACGCAGCGTCGCAGCACTTAAATATGTAGTAGTCTACTATCTCGTCTCGAAGCTTTGTCCATCTACTGAGCCTCCACCTAACTCACTCACTAGCCATTTCAAGATAGCAGATCGCAGTTCCTTCATTCGAGTCCATCGCGACCCAATCTCTTGGTAAATGGGAATCGAGATTATCTTGCATTGCCAGATTTGATCACGTGCCTAGGCCTAGTCTCTCTGGCAGCTGAATTGAATCATTACGTCTTCTGATAGACAGAGTTAGCTAGTTTTCAGCTGCGACTCTTGTCAAACCGGCTTCTCAATTGCTCAAACAGTTAACTCATGTGTCTTGAAACACGTCGAGTCACCGTAAAGCCAGACTAATTCCATTGTTAGCACGAACCACAAAACAAAAAAATCAAGTCCACTCGTCCCGCCGCAGGCGAGAGTTGAAAAGTGTCGCACTAAGCCTCTTGACAGGAGACAAGGGTACCTTACCTATGTAACCACGTGGACGGGACAGATGAAGGGAGAAAAAAGGCCCTTCCTTGTAGGCCTCACTAATCCAAGGCAACGTAGTGGACTGGAGAATTTGGTGAAGCTGATACAGATACAGATACAATTCCTCCACCAAAAGATGAGATAGGCTCATCAGAATTGAATAGCACCACCAACAATGTAACCATGTTTTTAAGTTAGTTAGAGGGGACAACATGGGCAGTTTCGCGGTATCGGTATCACGGGGACGCCGTTGATCCCTGGGTACTCTTGGATCCGGTTCCGAGGGGAGGGGAGGGGATGGAAGGGGAGGGTGTGTACGATGTGATATCTCATCTTTTCTCCCTCTCTTCCTTTCTTTCGCTTGGTGAATTGGTTGATTCCGACAACACGGTGACGAGACGAGGCTCCCATGCTTGGCTCGTTGCTTGGTGCCACAGGCTTGACTACCCGGGAATCTCGAGTGAGTCTAGCTTCGGTGTACTCTATCCATGAGGGTTCTCAGTCTCTCTCTCTCATCTCGTCTGTTGATCGGCTCTTGTCAAGCTAGAATCGTCATCGGCAACATCGCGACTGAATTTGAAACCATTCTCTTTCGTTAATCTTCGGTCATATCCTTTGCCGAAGTTCAGGTCCAATTCGTTGTCTGAACAATTCAAACAATGTCTCAGGCACATCTCAAAGCGGTATTCCGTTTCTATTGAGTTAGTCTATGCACATATGCACTTCCAATGCAGAAAGGGCTTATCCGTTAGCACTGCTGCGTTACCATTGCTACCGGCAAAAAGCAAAAGGTCTTTGATGTTCAGGGTCCTCTTTCGAGCCCAATGAACCCAATCTGTCCCGCGTTATAGCACTAAGTGGCCCTATTTGAGCGATCTATCCTACTGCAACCTCAGCGTTCCCAATTCGAGAACTTCACCAAGTCGATCATCATGTAACAGGCGGGGTGTATGTAATTTACCAGACCAGGCAACACTTATCGTATCCCTACCCTGTCCATTATAATAATCCTCGTCACGGCAGGGTAGCATAAATGAATGGGGAAGCGGTCGAGACGGTTGTAGTTGGTGAACCGAAGAAGCTATGCCCAACATGGTACGGCCTCTGGCTGGAATTGGTCCGGATTGCACGGCTAGATTCCCGCCAACTTTGACAGGCCCGCAAAGGCAAAGGCAAAGGCAAAAGAGCAACTTGAGTGAAGCTATGGTAGGATTTGGGGACGAGGACGAGGACAGGGACAAGGCTGGCCTCGCTCGGCGCTTTTTGAGTTGAACGAGAACCAAGGCGGGGATGGCACAGATCGCCAAAGAGCTCTTGTTGAGTTGACTGACTGACATTCGGTCAACCAAGTTTGTTAGAGTTGGACTTTGAAGAGGATCACTCACTCACAGTCGAGAATCAATTCATGTCGCATTTGACATGCCTCGAAATCCTCAATTGTCAAGCACGTGTCGTTGTTGTTACAACGCTAGAACGCTATTATGATTCACCGAGTCAGTTATCGACTCCTACACTCGTCTGCCGAGGCATTCATGCTCTCAAGAGTCAATAGAATTGTTGTCTCAATTCATCTTGTCTCTCCTCTCGCCTTACTTTTGGTGCCTCAATTCAGATGCCGCCTCCTCCAAGTAGAGTAGAGTAGGGCCGTGTTGCGTCCGGGGTGCTGCAACGGTCAGGACGAGGCGTTTCTAGCGCCGGCATGTCTCTCTCTTCTGCTGGAACTTCGGAGTCGCACCAATCAGTCAAGGGGATGATTGACCCAGCGATCCATCGGAAAGTAAGCATACGAAGCCAAGGAACGGGGCCTCGAGGCGATTGTGACAGATAACAAATGATTGCACTTTTGGTTGTTGTTATGTGAGATCAATACAATAGCCTGAAGACTGTCTCAATCTCATGGCTTAGCTGAAATGACGGACTAGACCTGGCTGCAGTTAGCACAAAATGCAAGTCAACCTGTATGTGCGTGCGTGTGTGATATGATATGGTTAATCAATAACCGCTGTGCTATACTCTGCAGTGCGATGTGATAGACGTACAGCCTATAGGGCCTCATCACTTTTCGCCTCCCATTGCTGCGGCTTACATGATATTCCATCAGTCATGCATATGCCTCATCTCCACACCGGAGAGGCGCAATTGCTGTATGTATGTATGTACGTATGTAATCGAGGCACAACAGAGCACGCACACGTAATGCAACTGGCGGAGCATCCTTCGTATCGAGTTACTAGTAGATAGGCACATGTACATGTCTCTCTCGATCGAGCATTATGCTTGTGACATGACATGACCAGAGTCAACTCAACTGAACTGGTTTGACTCGCCTTCAAGGATGATGCTTCCAGTGTTTGAATCGCACGGCAGCCGATATCTTTCCCCATGTGTCAGATGACGTGATGCTGCTGCTGAAACAAAAATGAGAGTCAGGATATCCTGGCTGTTAATTGAAAGAACCCGTACCCAAGCTGACTTGGAATTCCCATGAGGATTCTAAGCATCAAGAAAGGAAAAGATCCGAGGTGGCGTACCTAGCTTCTCTCTGTCTCCGTCTCTGTCCCCAACTGCCAAGCCTTCGATGCGACGCGATGCGATGCGATGGATGTGATGCAGGGAATCCTCTCTTGCTTGAGGCCATTCCCACCTTTTCCCATGTTCCCCAGTTTATCAAAACTCATGGGGAAATGTCACCTCATTTTCTCTCTGACCTGCTCGACTCTGGCCTCTCTGTCGATCCCTCTCCTCCGCCTTCAGAGTCACATCATATCATACATATTCCCTCAGTTCAAACTTCATATGCACAGGGTGACATTGAGAAAGTGACACCTCCCCTGCATCCACACATCGATGCAGGAACCCGACCTGGCATGCACCAATCAGCTCAATATTTGCCTATTAGTCCAACAATGTCTCATCTCTTACCCGAAAAAAACCGCTCTTGACGCGTACAGGCGCTGGATTTCTTTGAGATCATGATTCCTACACCGCAAGAGTCTGTCATGTCATGGCAGCAACTGCATCAAGACGAGACTTAGCGAGACCGTTGGATGTCTTGACAGTAGAACGGTCCGCGCGTCTCCCTTGCGTGTTTGGTAAATATACCCCACGTGGAGATACAACGGTCAGTCGCAAAAAGGAATAAATATGCGTACGGGCATGGTATAGCACAGAATCCTTGCACCTTGCCTGCCATTTTGCACATGGCCCTGGCGTTCTTACAGTAGCGATGTAGCATTGAAGAGTTACACTGGCCGGTGCGCTGCTCCGTAGAACCTTGATCCTGGTGTTGATAATGGTGCTCAACAGTCCAGAGATTGTAAGGGAGTCGGTGACAGGTAAATGGATTGGATGGTCATGACTGACAACTGCAGATCAATATAGAGTCATCGCCAATCGGTCCTGATGGTAATCGGAGTTGCGATCGTCGGATTGACCGACTCGAAAGCATTCTTTTGCCTGTGCCCTGTGACCATGGACATTTGGATTCGCAGTCATCGTCATATTGCAACCAAGGTATGCCCCTACTTCTCATAGAATGGTCAGCAGTACTCCATACATCGTATGACACCAATTACATCGATCACACGCTGTGTCGTGCAATATAACTGTTCCTTGACCGTTCTTCTTTGAGTGCAACACCACGAACCGACAAAGTTCGGACGTTGTATCCAATGCTCCAGGGTAGTTGTTTAGTGAAGTGACAACCATTCTCATTTTCCAATTTGGAAAACAAATTCCGAGTATCACTGCGATATCGAAGACCGAAGCCCGGAAGACTTGTCCACGATAGCAATGATTCCACTGTGAAGTGTGAACAGGACCAAGTATGGTGGAGAGCTTTCAAGGCTGTAAATTCAGGACTGATCGTGATGATCATCGTCAACGTGACAGCCCCAAGATCCAAGACTCTTACCGAGAGGACGAGGCCCAGTAGAGCGGTTAGACTAAAAGTCCAACTCGGGACTTTTTTTCACCTGAAAGTTACGGTATATCATATGAGAGGCTGTATAGAGCAACATCGTCTGGGGTTGGATCCACTTGGGCGATGAGCATCGGCCATAAAATCGATGCTATTGCCAATCTTGCCCCAAAGTTGCTGTGCGGGGAGTGCTTTGA